AGTGCAAAGAAAATAGAAAATTTTTATCTTGAATTGTGTTTGTTAGATAATTTAATAGGAAAGGACCAGTAGGAAATGCGTGAGAAGTAATAGGATAGACGAACATCCATCTGTGTATGCGTTTTTTTTGGTTCGTTACACATCCGCACTGGTTTTTGTTTTTATTTTTATTTTTACTGCTGATAAATATTTGCCTTTCTTAGTTACAAATTGGTTATGCATTTTTTTTTTCTTTTTTGCACAGTGAAACTTTTGTTTCACGTTGATATTAACCGTTAGGGAAACGTTTTAAAGTTTTTTCATTTTTACTTCTTATTGTTGTTGTTGTTAGTGGTGTATTGGTAACTGTTGATGATACTGATGATTATTCTGGCTCCGATGACAACGGCAATACTTTGGGACCGCAAACACTTCTTTTTTTTTTTTTTGTTGTTGTCCAAGACAAGTGTCAACGTCGACGATTGTCAGTTGTATTCCATCGACATTCCACCAGCAGTAAACTTGGCGTCGTCATCTCTGTTAGCAAAGCGTCAGATAGATATATACGGTGACCGTTCATTATTCATCGGTTAAAAACCAAATATTATAAGATCATTATACATCAGAAGAGGAGATAAAGTACAAAACCTTTAAGCATTAGTTTCTTAAGCAATTGATCAGCTTAATAAATTGAAGAGCCGTTAACCGGGAGAAAAAAAAACAAAACAGAACCGAAGTTTTTATAGTTTTTTTTTCGAGTTTTCAATATAAATGTGAATACTCAGGTATACGTTGCATTTGGAGACTAAAAATTTTTGTTATTGAAAGGTTAATGGTGGCAGTTTGAAGTGTATAAATCTGTTTTTTTGTTGTTCTTCTTCTTCTTCTGTTCTTTTCTTTTTCTTTTCGTTTTTCTTTTTTTTTTTGTCTTGAATTATTGCTGATCAAATATGGCCAAACTGAATCGGTGAAAAAAGTATCTGTCAGTTGGTCGTTGGTCGAGAGGTTAGGTAATTATCATCAGAAGCGCCTTTCTGAAACTGTATAATACTTTTGAACTCTTAACAGATCTGCAGTTGTCTTTTTTTTTTTTTCATTTTTTCTGCTCCAACACTGTTGGTAAATAAATACAGATGCAAAAAAAAAAAAAAAAAAAAAAAAAAAAAAA